TATTTAATTGCTAAAAATTAATATAAATAATTGGGTATAAAGATAATTCATCCAACACAAAATTAATTTATTTTTTAATATTTGAAATTATGAGGGTAGTTTTGGTAAGTAAATCATTTTTTTTTTTTTCCTTTTCATGCTATCCAAACTAATAAAATAGTAATATTTTCCCACAAATTTCTTGAAAATTTTTCTTGCTAACCAAATGCGTGAATGAAACTTGATTTTTCTTTCTTTTACTTTCACTTTCCATCATAAATTACCATCAAACCAAACGAACCCAAAGGTTCATTTGATTAGATAGAAATTTATGATGGAAAGTGAAAGTGAAAAAAAGTAAAGAAAAGGAAAAGAAAATCAAGTTTTCAGTATGCATTTGGTTAAAAGGAAAAATTTTCAAGAAAGTTGCTAGAAAATAATATTTTTGTCAGTTTGGATATGGTGAAAATGAAAAGAAAATGATTCTATTACCAAAACTACCCTTAAGAATTTAAATATTTTAAAATAAAATAAAATTGTGTTTGATGAATCACCTTATACCTAATTGTTTATATCTATTATTAGCAAAAATAAAAAAATAAAAAATTATATATTATTAAAAATAATAATATAATTATTTCTATTAATATCTAAATTGTATCTTTAATGAACACAACAATTGTAAAACTCAAATATGAAAGTTGTAAGTTTCCAATCAAATTAAGAATCCCAATGGCCAACAACACCAACACTAACCCTAATTTTCCAATAAAACTAAAAAAAACATGTATGTATACTATTCAATCTCAATCATTATTAATAAAAAATTAATTTTATATACATATATAGAAATATAAATAATTAAATAAGGATTACACCAATTTACAGAAGAAAATCTACCTCTGCGTGAAGTTTGTGGAGAAACTGAAAAGTGGAGAGAAACAAGGAGAGAAATAAGGAGAAAGTGAAGAAGAGTAGGAGAGAAACAAATGACAGGGGCACAAGAGGAAACAAATATTTAAAGTGGCTAAGTTTTGCGAGAAAGTAAATTTTCTCGTGTTTTGTACAGGAAAATTTTTAGGGAAAATTCATAACATGCGAAAATCTACTTTCCCGAAAATTTTCAATTTTGTAATGTTTCCGATTTTTACCATTTTTTATTTTTTGTAAATTTCTTTTTTTAAGGTATTTTCATCTTTTTTTGTTTTGCGTACCGGACACCGTGGTGTGTGGTTGGAAATTTAATTATATATATATAAAAGAAAAAAAAGGTGGGATCTTTGTTTTCTTGATGGTAGGACCAACCATTCTTTTTTATTTTTATTTTTATTTTTATTATTTTTTTTTATGGCTACAAGGCCATTTTTTGCTTCAATCTTTCTCTCTCTCTACGTAAATCTCTCTCTCCCTCTCATTTTTTTTTTTTTTTTTCCTTTTACTTCAAAGCTTCAAGCTTTGATTTCTCTCCGACCGTTGGGAGTTTGTTTGTGCCGTTTGTGGCAAGTCGAAGGGCTCATCGAGATCTTTGATTTGATTGGAGCCAAGTCCCGTTTGGCCAACCTTGGCCAACCTTGGAATTTCAAAATTAGGGCTTGGATTTGGGTAATTTTTGGGACTTTCTTCAATTAAGAGGTAGGGGTCTCTAATCCATAACTTCTTTGATTTTTGTGAGTCAATTTTTTATAAATTGTTGTAAAGCATGCCTAATTTGTCTTGATTCTTGCAAAAATGACTAAATTATTGTACATTTGATATGTGATTATGTTTTAATTGCTATTTTATGAGGAAACATGCTTTATATCATTATATTACATGCCTTGTGTAATTTGAGTTGCCGTACATGTGGTAAAAAGCATGATATGTGTGTTACATAGTTTCTCTCAAATGTGTTTTATGGTTAAAATTCAAACATATGGAGAATTATGATATTTAAGTTGCATGGTGCATTTATGCATTTTCATTGAGAATGGAATGGGAAAAAGTTGTTTTAAAAAACCAATGAAATTGTTTTGGGCAAAAAGGTTTTGAAAGAGGTTTTTATGAAAACCCGGTCGCCTAGGAGTTGCATAGGGTTCGCAGCGTTAATGGGACGTAGAGGGGACTAGGGAGACTGCCCTAGTGTGGTTGAGTTACTTGGGCCCTAAATGACACCATGGAGTTGCCATGGGTCAGGGATAGTTAGCCAATCATCCTCTTGTGCCGCCATGGAGTTGCCATGGGACGGATTTCACTAACGGTTTGGAAACGAGGATGGAAATGTTTTGGAAATGTGGAGCGACATTGCATGGCATTGCATCCCATTGCATAGCATAGTTCATTACGATTTTGATTGTGATTGTAAAACTTGTTGTTAAGTTTTTCCCCGACACGGCATGATCCCATTCTCCTTATTTCTATTCATTATTTGGATTCATGGGGTCACAAGAGGTGTGTCTTAGACACCTCTTGCTTAGCCATTGTGCTCACCCCTTTCATTATTGACATGTTTCAGGGTTCAGGAAAAGAAATGGCGGATGACAACCCACCACAAGCTTGAAGGGAGATATAATTTCATTTTCCTAACTTTTGTATCTTGAAAACCCATTCTTTTGTAAAACCTTACCTTGCAATGTATTCACTTTGTGATGTAACTATAACCATATGATAGTATTTCTTGTAAAGTGGAACTAAGTAAGCAACTTGCAATGAATGGGTTGTGATGGTATATTTTGTGACAAATTATTGATGATTTTAGTCATGGGATGTGGTGTAGTATTTGCCGTGAATTCAGAATTATATTATTTATCAAGTTGGTCCACAATGAGCTCAGCATTTTTGATGTTTTTAGTTGCAGATAACAGCATTTCAGGGCCTGTCGGTAGGCTGACAAGGACCATCAGCCGACTAACAGTGCACATTTTGGTATTCCAGAAAGTTGGGTTGTAGAAAACCTTGTTTCGGCTGTCCGAACTTCACCATCGGTTGACCAAAACTCCATCATCAGTCGGCTGACACCCCATCTCCAGCCGGCCGACAGTGCACTTTAAGAAAGTCCCGAGAGTTTGCATTTTTACTAATCGTTTCGGCCAGCTGATCATTTCCATCAGCCGACCGAACATGCAGTTTCAGCTGGCCGATGAAAGGCCACCAGCCGGCTGTCCTTGCCCCTTTGACCAGTGCTTTGACCCTCTACTTCTAAGTTTTATTTGGTGTACCTTGGGTCATGTAATGAATCGAATACTATCTAAGAGCACATGTAATGATGATTGTACCCTTAGTTGACCTTGGGTTCAGGTAAGAACCCGGTTAACGGTTCGAACCCACGGGTTCAGGTCGTTACAAACTAAGTATCAAAGTGATGGTTCAAATACCATTAGGACGACGGGCAGAGGCCTACCTAGGATTGCATAAGGAAGTTGAATTGCATGACTATGTGCTTATGTGTGAAGGTGTTCAATTGTTCGAAAAGCATGCTTACTTGTCTACTCGCTTATTTACTTATGTGATCACATGCCTATGTGTTTAAAGTAATGCATATTGTTGCCATGACAATGATTGAAAGTATGCTGATCTTGATATGATGATGTGTACAAGGAGTATAATAGCGGCGAGTGGTAGGCATAGAGTGAACAGTTCCTTTTTATGGTAATGCGACAAGTTAAGAGCATGGTTGTATCATGGTGTGGATTATGATTATTATAAGTATATATATCCATGTGTATATGCGATCGCGTATGGGATGGTTGTGTAAGTTATGACCTGAGTGGACGAGGAGCTCAGTTGCTCCAGAATTGTTAGGTGTCAGTTCTTATCGGACGAATGGCTTGGTCTTTTAACTCGTAGATTGAGCTATTTATGTGTAGTCATTTTGATTTTCTTGTTGCATTTGTGTAGTGCTTAGAGCACGACTTTGGATTGTTGGGTGCCAGTGTTTTTTTTTTTCGTTTGTTTTGTTTTGTTTTGTTTTGTTTTTTTAAGACCCTTAAAATGTTTTAATCTATCTTGATAAAGATTCACTTGTACAAAAGGCAGGGATAGGTGAGCACATGGTTGGATCCATTAAGCATTCTTCATGATGCACTTTTTTAGAAGTACCAAAACTATTAAACATTCTTCAAGATGCACCTTTTTAGAAGTACCAAAACTATTAATTTCCAAAAACTTTACAAACTGATTAAGGTCTGGTTGTATGTTCCATTAACCTTATATAAGCCAAGGTTTGGTAGGATTTTATTATTATTATTATTATTATTATTTTTGGTGCAAAGTGTAAATTTGTTTAAGTTTTCTAACTGATGAAGGAATGCAAATTACCAGGGTATTATACCTTGGTGACAAAAATTGAATGGAAAATACAGAAATACTATTTATAATGCACACAAATATCATATACTATTTTCAGTGAAGTGTAAATTTGGCACGTCTGACACGGACAATTGGATACGAATTCTTTATCATTTTAGGCGTGTTCGTGCTTCCTAACATCTAACTGAAGTTATATCACCAATTATAAGTTTTCTATAGATTCTGCAATTTTCCCATAGAATGTATTTCCTCCAAGAATTACCCGTTGTAATATTTGAAGATTTCCTATAGCAGCAGGAATTGTGCCCGTGAATCGATTATTTTGAAGATATAAAGTTGAACTCTTTGAATTGGTTAGCAGCCCGATCTAATATCTCCGAAGACTACAGTTGGCCATAGAATCAATGAAGTTCATTTCATCTGGTTCACTACTTCCCAAATTATTTTGAGAGAGTAATTCTACCAAGATTTTGAAAGCCTCCAAAATTAATTCTTAGTTTCCCATTGAAATTACTCTCTCCAATATCAATTTCTTCTAGTTTTGTACAATTGGGTATGGAGACAGTAGGGTCAAGTAAATTTGTTCCCCCATAATTGGAGAAGTCGAATATTAGGGAGCATCAGACCCAAGTTTGGTGAAAGAGTGCCATCAAGTTGGTTAGAAGGCAAAGAGAGAACATTTAGAAAAGAAAGATTACAAATGGAAGGATGGATTGTACCAGAGAGTTGATTGACGCCAAATGCAAGAACTTTAGGTTTTTCAATTGACCCAGAGTGCAAAGAGAGATTTAAGCCTACAAAAAATTGTATGAGCAATTTTCCATTTCATCTGCAGCAAAAGCCCCATGTTAAATAGGAGTGGGACTATCTCTAGCTAACCCGCCGAGTCCAAAAATAATTATTCCTAATTTTTCCACTTTTGGCTTGTGAGTATAATTATTCCTAATTTTTATTGACGGAGGTAAATATTGCAAAGAAAGATGTAGAGAAAGTCCTCCAACACTCCGACTCGCACATACGTCCGCGACGCCAAGGCAATGGCGACAACACCGGCCGACGTGAAGGAGTACCCGAATTCGTACGTGTTCGTGGTGGACATGCCGGGGCTGAAGTCAGGGGACATCAAGGTGCAGGTGGAGGACGACAATGTGCTGGTGATAAGTGGTGAGAGAAAGAGAGAGGAAGAGGAAGAGGGAGCCAAGTACGTGAGAATGGAGAGGAGGGTTGGGAAATTCATGAGGAAGTTTGTGTTGCCTGAAAATGCAAATACCGATGCCATCTCCGCGGTTTGTCAGGACGGTGTGCTTACTGTTACGGTTCACAAGTTGCCTCCTCCGGAACCCAAGAAGCCCAAGACCATTGAGGTCAAGATTGCTTGAATTAATATGGCACATCATTCCTATTGGCCTATGATTTTATAATGTCCTGTTTTAGAGTCTTTCTTAGCTACTTATAATTGGTTTTATGAGTTGGGTGTTTTTGTTTGTGAGGTGTGTTTTAGGTTTGCTTTCTGATGTGGAGGTTTAAATATTTTATATAAATCAATGGCATATTTTGTCTTTTAAAGAGAATCTGTCTCAGCTTCGTGAATTTTTCCTTCAATGAATTTTGAGTATGATATACTTTTTCCATTTTAGGGGTGTGCAGTTTTTAATATTTGGATGATGTTCAATTGAAAATTGAAATAGCCAACAACTGGATTTGGAATATGATTTAGTATCAGTTTACAACAGTTGGGGATTTTTTATATAGATGATGTTCAATAACTGGATTTGGAATATGATTTAATAGAAATTGTTATTTTGTACTCATGGAAAATTTTAATTAATTCCATATTGAAGCTCAGTATATATATAATACATCCATATAGTATATATAAATATGCACAGATACTCTGGTGGACTGTCCTAAAATTTCAGTTTCTTCTAAAATTGAAAGATAAACTAAATATTGTGACAGGTAAATGCGAACTACAAAGAAGTAATTGAGAAATGTGCATCCCATCTCTGGCACCAACATTATCAACCCTGTTTAAAACCCATAAAATTAAGAACTTTCACTACATAAGGATGTTAAGAGAGGCAATGCATAAGAGCGATTAACATATATAGTTTGCCCTAGTTATAGGCAATTCATACAATTGACTAGCTCCCACTGTTAATTGTATCGAAATTAAGAACGCTCGTGATGGGCTGAGCTTCCTCCGAAGAAGCCCTAACTCTAATCGATCGAAAGAGCGAAATTCAAGATCGAAGGTGAATGACAACGAATCGGTTGGTCATCAGAGAGTGAGAAATTCATGATGTGAAATTGCGAAATAATTGCTAGAGATTGTGCAATGCTCTTTTATAGAAATCGATAGGCGAGTTCTATATAAAAAATCCCCTACTGTTGTAAACTGATATTAAATCATATTCCAAATCCAGTTATTGGCTGTTTCAATTTTCAAAAGCACATCATCCAAATATTAAGAACAGCACACCCCCAAAATGGAAATTGTATATTATACTCAAAATTCATTAAAGGAAAAATTCACGAAGCTGAGACAGATTCTCTTTAAAAGACAATATATCCCATTGATTTATATAAAATATTTAAACCTCCACATCAGAAAGCAAACCTAAAACACAGCTCACAAACAACAAAACACCCAACTCATACAACCAAATTATAGTAGCTAAGAAAGACTCTAAAACAGGACATTCTAAAATCATAAACCAATAGGAATGATGTGCCATCTTAATTCAAGCAATCTTGACCTCAATGGTCTTGGGCTTCTTGGGCTCCGGAGGAGGCAACTTGTGAACCGTAACAGTAAGCACACCGTCCTGACAAACCGCGGAGATGGCATCAGTATTAGCATTTTCAGGCAACACAAACTTCCTCATGAATTTCCCAACCCTCCTCTCCATTCTCACGTACTTGGCTCCCTCTTCCTCTTCCTCTCTCTTTCTCTCACCACTTATCACCAGCACATTGTCGTCCTCCACCTGCACCTTGATGTCCCCTGACTTCAGCCCCGGCATGTCCACCACGAACACGTACGAATTCGGGTACTCCTTCACGTCGGCCGGTGTTGTCGCCATTGCCTTGGCGTCGCGGACGTATGTGCGAGTCGGAGTGTTGGAGGACTTGTCGGCTTCATCGGTGGCGTCTAGGATGTGTTGAAGGGCGTGGAAGATTGGGGCGTCGAAACCCACTGGCCTGAATTCCATTTTCTGCTTTGTTTGGGGAAGATAAATTACTGAAATGGTTTTGGGTTGTGAGAGAGATTCGAAAACTTTCGATTTTGCTTGGATTGTTTTGTTGAATCAATGTGTTGAAGGGATGAGAATGTCGTGGGTAATTTATAGGTGGGGGTATGTGAAGTTTCTGGAAAGGTTGGGAATAGGCGAGACACTTCTGGGAGGTTCTGGTCATTTCTCCCACTAAAGTCCGTTGGAACTTCTTGGTATGTTAGTGGGGGCATCCATCTATGAAATTTTATATTTGTGGACCAATTTGTGTTCTTAGTTTATTTGTCAAAAATAAATAAATAAATAAATCTTGGGATATTTTTTTTTAGAGAAATAATATTTAATATTTATTAAAAAATGATATTAAATGCAACAAAAATGAAAGAATTTCATTTCCAATTTTATGTTGTCTCCTTCATAAAAATAAATAATAATAATAATAAATAAGAGTTAAAGTGAATAAAATAAGCATAAACTTTTCTTCGATTTTCGATTTATGTATCTTTCTCTGTCTTTTTTTCTGACAATTTCTTTTTTGAATTAACTTTTTTTCAATTTTTAATTTACTTCTCTTCCTCCGTCTTTTTTTTTTTTTCTTTTTTTTTGACAATTTCTCTTTTGAATTATGGATTCTTTCTCATACATTTCTCTTCGGGTTCATTTGGTTAGCGTGAAGTAGGTAGAATGGAAAAAAAAAAAACCAAAAAGAAAATTAATTTTTGGGAGTTTGGTTACCTGGAAAGGGAAAATTTTTGGGAAAGTGAGATTCCCGCATCGATAAATTTTTTCAAAATTTTTGGACGCATAAAATACAAGAAAATTTACTTTCTCACACAAAATCATTATTTTATTTTCAAATTTCCTATTATGCCCAGTTGTTTCTCCATTTTTTTTTTTTTCACATAACAAATATAGGCGTGGTTATTAAATTCAGACTTAAAAAATATTCCAACAAGTATTACATATTGGTGGGACACATAATTTGATTATATCCAATAGGTGGTCACCTAAAATTTTTGGAAATAAATTAAGAGTTGAATGGTAGTGTGGAGGGAAAAAAACTCCCTCCAATAAAAAGCGCACATGTCACCACCACACATATCTACATTACAAGGGCATTCAAGGCCCATCATGTTCAAGCCCAAATTGAGCATACTTACAGCCCAAGACCATTATAATTTGTCCTCCAACTTCCATCAGGGCCGAATCAAGAAGTCATCAGCCCAGCTTATGAGTATTTAACATCCGGCCTGTTACTCAAGCCCAGCCGGATCAGAATATATTCAGCCCAAGAATGCACAAGTCCTACCATTTGAAGGAATTACCTTATAAGGAAAATTCTGATAGGAAGTTCTGTGCAAGGCAAGTTCTATGTATGGAAAATTCGACAATGGAAAAAACTCTACTAGAAAAGAATGGTTATATAGAAAGAATTGGGGGGCAAGCAACGCAAGTCCTACCATAATTTTGCAATCTTTTGTATATAAATAGAGGCTAAGACCTCCAATAAAGGATCAAGCAATTCAACACTTCTCTATATATTGTTCTTATTTATTTTTATTGTTTTTTGAGTGAGTTGTTTTATTTTTCTCAATCACTATTGGTTGAGCGAAATTTTGCACCTACACTTTGGCGCCATCTGTGGGAAGCGTATCAAAATATACTCCCACTTGTTCTTCAAATTAAATCCTTTAATCGTGTCTGGAATGTCAAACGGAGAGTCAGCAATGAATCAATAGATAGAATTGATGCAAAAGATGCGAGAAGAGTTCTTGCACCAGTATGAGACACTCCGGCAAGCAAACGATACGAGTGTCGCCCAGATAGCTGCGCTTCAGCAGCAAACTCAGACGCTGCACACGGCCATGGCTAGGCTAACGCCACAACCACCACCAGGCAATGCTGTGGCGCCACCCCCCACCCAGAATTTACCTCCGGTTCACGAGCCTCCAGCCAACGAGACACCACCCAACGGGGCTCGACCTAGTGAGGTTCAGCAAAAGCAAGGGACGAGGTCCGAGGCGGTTGCTTCGGATAATCTCCCGCATCGCACACAGGACGAACAGGCCGAGTCCAGCCATAGGCTTACGGTATGGTCCAATGGCGTTCCAGATGGCGCACGTATGCAAGATGCCTTCGACGAAAAGAAGCTCTTGAGAGTCCAGACACCAGCCGAGATGGCTAGAAAGCATAAGAACTCCTTGGTCAAGACCCCCTTTACTGACGAGGTGTACCTTGTGGAGAGGCCGAAGAAGTTCACTAAGCCATCCTTCACCCAGTTCGATGGGGCAGGAGACCCCTCTCGGCATCTCGATCATTATGCGCAAAAGATGGCACTGGACGATCATAATGATCCATGGATGTGTAAGGTTTTTCCTACCAGTTTAACCGGAGCAGCGTTAGAATGGTTCAGGAATAGGCCACACAAGTCTATCCCTGACTATGAGACCTTGTGCACTATGTTCTTAGCCCAGTATTGCGAAAATAAGAAGCAGAAGAAAAGTATCGCCAGCGTTTTTACCATAAGGCAAAGGAAGGGAGAAACCCTGCAAGATTTTTTATCCAGGTTTAACATGGAGGCCTCGGAGATAGCAGATTGCCATCCTGCCACGGCAATCGAAACATTTAAGCTGGCAATGATCCAGGGAACCAAGTTTCACACATCCTTGGTCAAATATTCCCCCCCGGATATGCAGACTTTGAACGCTAGGGCACAAATCTACATTCGGTTGGAAGAAAACGTAGCTCACCGCGCACAGCACGCTACCCTTGTCACAGTGGAGAACAAGTCTCGAGAGAAAGCTGCGAGCACGAGGGTGCAGAAGGTTCCTCATACCGCCACACAAGTCACCCAAGCGTCTGAGAAAAGGCGAAGGACAGAGGACAGGCTTACCCCTCTCCGTACTACCTTAGCGCGCCTATTCCAAGAGAATAAGACGAGGTTCGCGACTCCTCAGCCCATGAAACAACCCTTGGAGCAGAGGGACAAAAGCAAACATTGTGCCTACCATAGAGATTATGGGCATACCACCAATGACTGCAGGTCCCTACAGCAACAGGTAGAAAGCATGATAGCGCGAGGAGAATTGGTGGAGTATCTCGCCACGAAGGAGCACGTAAAACCTCGGGAGGTTAACCCTCGACGGGTAGAGGGCGGTCAGGTAAAGGTTATCCATGCTATACACGGAAGATCAAAGGATGATGAGGAGTCTGAAGAGTTGTACAGATCCAGGCTGAGAGAGGCTCATAATAACTACGAAGATTGTCTTCGGTAAACACGGTTACACCAGGCAGCATCAACATTGGGTTC